CGCCCAGGAGCTTCTCGGCACAGCTCTTGCAATGTCGGGCGAGACTCGCCGTGTGAAGGCCGCGAGCAGCCGGTTCGGGTAAAGGCTTTATTGATATACGATGACCATATATATATATATATATATGTATATATACAGGGCTTCACGTCATTGCAGGTCTGTGGAGTTTGATTCATCTGGAGGGTTCGAGACATCTTCGGGATTCCGAAGTTGCCACAGACGCTCTGCAGCTTTCACAAAACGGCGGTATCTCTTACGTCGCCTCAGAACTTCAGTGTTGCCAGCTGCATCTCCTTGACTTCGTTCAGCATGCAGACCATGAGGTGGTTGACGAGGTCCACCACACCTCGCCACTGAGATGGCGGTTTCCGAAAATAGGGGACCCCAATATAGTACCCTATCTAGTGGGATCCTTATTGTAAAACCCCCAAATAAGGTACCCCGAGTTTTCGGAAACTCCCAGATGCTCCGACCGGGCCACTGTGCACTTTTTACCCCACGTTCACAAGGGATGGCAACCACGACACTTGTCCGAGAGCGAGGGAGGACGACTAATCTGCAGAGACACAGATAAACTCAGGAGAAACAAAAGGCAACAATGAACAGCAATGCATGAACAGGTAATTATACTCCTAGTTGCAACTACGCAGTCTGATGCATAAGGCTTATACTGTTTGTTACTGGTCGCACTGACATGGCTAGTGAGATCTGTTTCGTTACGCTGTAACTGGTGTAGTTTTAGACCGTGCTTCAGCTCTATTCGTCACGGGCTCAGGGGTGGGTAAAAAAGGCTTTTGCAAAACAGCCACACCGAAAACAAGTCAGTGAGTCATGCACCAGAAGCAGCCGACAAACAAGATCATGTCGCATGGGTGCCACGGATGTCGCAAGCATCAAAAACCATTGGGCCGACCAGGATGGTACTGTGGTTGTCTTTGTTCAAGTCTCGAACTCGAACCCTGTAGCAACTAGTCCGGGTCACAAGCAGCGGGAACGGCCAGCCGCGCACCCTCTGCAGCCTCCAAGGTTCGTCAGAACCATGCAGATCTGTTGAACAGAAGTCTTCGAACGTTGTGGTTTGGGGAGGCTTCAGGGCTTCATTGTAGAGCTAGGGCTACTGAAACTGATCTCAAGTTGCCTCTTCGTATGCAGCTGGGACGACTGGGTCCGGAGGCCGAGATAGGCCCAGGTATGTGGACTAATCCAGAAATCACCTGCACCTCTCAGCTCCCAGGCACGAAAGACTTGACTAAACACACGAATCCGCAGCTCACGAAATCCTGAAGTTCGAACCTCCAAACTTTTGAACCGGCTAATCTCTAGACCCTCTCGAAGCCGCTAAGCATCTACACCGGCAACTACTACAAACCTGCCCAAAACCACACACACAGGCCCACATCCTAAATCTCAACTATTCTCGAACAGCCTGCGAACAGGAAAGTCGAGTTTCGGTTGTTAGTTCCCGCAACAGGCGACTCTCAAGTAGGTCCCAAACCCCGTACACTACACTCTCGGAAATCGCTACTGAAGCCCAAACAATCCCTACCAGCAAGCACCCCGAAACCGACAAATCTAAAGCCCTACATTACAGACCCTACGTCATCCTTCATCCCTCTAAACTTATAAAGCCCTGTAAGCAACCAATACCCTAAGCCCTACACCCAACCCTAGAGTTGTTCATTTCTGTATCGCCGACCTCTAGGGTCTGAGCTTCCACGCGCACCCGGGAGACCTACCAGCAACACATTTTGGGCGCCACAGCGTATTACGGTTCAGGGGCTTTTGGTTTCGGCTCGATGGGGTTTAAGGTTCAGGGTGTTTTTTGTTGACGGCTTTGCCTTCTCTTGTTGCGGGGTGACAGGGTTTCTCTTTGTTGGTTGAGTGCTGTGGTTTCTGCTTGGTGAAAGGGGCTGGTAGATAGCAGCATTGGGACATTGAATTAATCTATAAATTTAGGCACCCGGAGCTGAGGGAGAATGCTATTGGGTTAAGCTTCGTGGGTCTCATGGTCCCTGGGCGGCTGAAGAAGCTGGGGGGGGGGGGGGGGGCGAACCGTAGACCTAAATCCCAAGCCCTGTATTCCTGTATCTCCGAAGCTCTAGCAAGAGGCCACTAACACCGGCTTAAGGTTTTTGACTTCTCTGCTCATGACCACTGCGCGGGTCTATGGTTTATGACAGCTCCGGCAAAAGCTGAGTTTGGAGGTCATGGGCTCAAAGATACATCCGGTGTTTAGCGTGCCGGGCTGTTCATGAGGGTTTGGAAAAGAAGTGGCCTGGTTCAGCACTGCCGTTCGGGTTTGGGATATCTAGCTTAGCAAAACCAGCTACATCGTGCATTTCGGTTTCGCAACGGGCAACCCTTCTAGGCAGCCCAGGCTTCAGGGTGAAAGCTTCCTTTTTCAAGCAAGCCGCCAGTTCCTGCAGCTCCTCTGCGACATCCCCCACTCGGTGCCTAGGTCCAGCCAAAACGAACTTCGCACGATGAAGATCACATGAAGTTCGGTATAGCTCAACTCCATGGAAGTCATGGAAGCCCTAATCAGTGACGAGGCCATCTCCGCTCCGTCGGTTCATGAGGCATGTACGGGTTTATACAACCCCTGTCGTGCTCCTGTTCATGATCTTTACATATCTTTACACCACTTAACGTAATAGTCTACCGGGAAGGGAAAGCTTTTTGGACTGAGGCGATCCACCACGAAGAAAGGACACCTCATCCTCCGAAGCGCAGCGGGCGATGCCGGCCCTAAGATCCTCCAAGCCTTGTTCTGAACCCGGCCGAGGCTTTTGACGGGAGACTTAGAACCCAATTTCATCAACTATGAAGTTCGGTTCCTTGGGGCCCGTAGTGTCCAGCGAGGCTAAGGCAGTAAGTCAAATACGCAAAAAGTCGCTAGGTTCAAAGTTCAAAGCGGCCCGCCAGGGTCTAAGCTGATTGGAGTTCAAGATGCTTTTCTGAGGCTCTGTGGCTGATGGACACATTCTCAGTGTCCTGGCGGGAGGGAAAGAGGCAAATCAACTGAGCCTCGGGGCCCAACTCAGTACATCAGGGAATTAGGGGCACCCTATTTTGGGGGTTCTTATAATAAGGATCCTAATATTTAGGGTACTTGGGGGTCCTTACAATAAGGATGATATTATTTAGGGTACTATATTGGGGTCCCTGTTTTCTGAAACTCCGATTAAGACACTCCACGATTGCAGCGTTGGAAAGGTGCGCCCCCCAACAAGAGAAGCTATCTGCTGGCACTGCGATCATATGCGAAGGCTGACTTTTCAACCCGTAGCTCTAAGAATCAGTCTATCAGCCTCATGCACTGCAGAGGCTCACCCACCTAGACCGACACTGGCTCTGCGCCTGTCCTCTTCCAGCTCTTCATGCAGGAACTGCTTGTAGACACGCTGCCTAAGCCGTGGGAGGCCCGAACCGACAACAGCTCATGAGCATGGAGTTCAATCGCCCTGTAGAACTTCTTTGATTGTGGCATAGGGTGCTTTGACATCATACCTCTGTTGTCATACGGTTCAGGACCTGTTGAGGAATTAGGGCAGCAGACTAAGGAACAGCTTTACCGATGCGTTTGCTTGTGTTTGCTCCAGGGCTCTCTCAGTCTCCGTCGGTTTGATGCCTTGAGAGTGGGCGGAAGTCTCGCTACCGCAACACGGCCCTTCTCCCTGCCCGCTCTGTCTCCACACCTCATATGTCTGCTTGGCGCCTTGGCCACACTTCCAACCTGAACCCGGGAGGTACCACCAACTCAATAAACTCCTAAACTCTGACACTCTCAGCTCATATGGTTCTGCCACTTCAAGACTTGGGTCAGTTGTGCACTTGTCAGAGCTCAAGTTAGAGAACATCTAACAACTCTGGAACGCAATTAGCACCCTAAAACCCGAAACTGTGAACCCCAAGAACCACCCAGAATCTCTAGAAACCCTGGAACTCACAAACACCTGCCCTCAGCAAAATAAAACCTAAATCTCAAATGCTAAGACACAGCCGTTACATACCCCTCCACATAAGAGCTACATCACGGTGATAAGAATCAGAAACTTGCCCCAAACCATAAACCCATAAACCCTACAACAAGTCTGCAGGCCGCGGCGCACACGAGAAACGAGACCGGAGCTCGAGCTCGGCTGGGCTCGCTCGGTTCGCTCAGCACGGGCGGCCCGTTCTTTCCTGTGCTTCGTGTTTAACAACAGGAAGAGTAGTAATAACAATAGTAACCATCAGAAATAGCTACAATAAAAACAATAAGAAGGCATTCTGACCATAGGGTGTATGATGATGCGCTCCTGCGCTTAATTGTTCTGATGGGCTTTGCAAGGAGCTTGAGGCACGGGTTTGCGCAAGGCCTGATAGCTGATAGCTAATCGTACATTCTGGGCTATGCAGGAGATATAAACTGCAAACTTTCTGCGGGGGCCTTGAAGCCGAGGCACGCTTGCAGTCAACGAAGCGAATCGCTGGAAAGCCCGTCAACCCTCAACAAAAAAACACATCGTGTGAATATCACTCCATACAGCTACGGGTTGGTTTAGGCTCCGCTTCGGGAGCTCAGTAATTCACGGGGCCTTAGGATCTCGCGCTCTTGTCTGTGGAGTCACGCGCTTTTTTGAAATTAAAAATGCTGACAACAGAGACATCGTAGCATCAGTCTACAAATTGAGACCTACTAGAGTAGAAGGTGCAGCATTCAGAAAGCAATCCTAAAAGCCTCAGTACGAACTTGAGAAGGTTTCGAATGTTGAAGCCCGAACAAGACATAGCGCCGAGCAAAAGTGCGCATGTCGAGGCGGCGATACCCTGCGTGTGTCGTACACACTATGTACGTATGGAGCTTCGGCCGAGCTTCTTGGCGACCATCGTGGTGAACGTTGTAGCCATCTTCTCAGCAACCTCGCAGGACCGGGCAGGCGCTTTCCAAATAACATATATACTGACGGCCCGCGTGACTATCAGTTGTATATATGCAGGTGCCCTGACGATGTCAATCAAGCGATACAAAAACGGAGGGAAGAGGAACTTGGACCCGCTGACTCTCCTCTACTTAACGCAACCGTGCAATGAGACTCGCTTCTTGGCCGCCATGCAGCCTGGAAGGTGTAGAGGCTCTCGGCCAACCTCTGTCGGACTTCTTGAAGCTCCAAGTTGTCCTCTCTTTGAGGGTTTCGTGGTGCTTCTTGGAGCTTGCAGGGTTTTGAAATTTCTCTCGGCTGAGGGTTTCGTGGTGATTGGTGGAGCTTGCAGGGCTCTAAAATTAATGTCAAAAGGGTTTCGAGTTTGGGATGTAGGGCATGTGCTGTCAGGTTTATACAGTATGGCACTTAGACTCGCCATTTGCACGCATATCCTCAGGAATCAGTGAACAAAATGGAAGTGCATCTATGTATCCAATTGATCCCAGTCAGAGAAGTCCAACTACATACCGGAGGGAGTTGACACCGACAGCAACTGTCACACAGCTGCGCATGAAACCCCGCAGCAGTAGAACTTGAGCTGAGCTTTCGTTACAAGAGGCCGGTACCGGCTTTCGTTCCGGGTCGGCACATTTGCTTTCCGAGTTTGCCCCACTGCTATCCTCGCTGTGGGAGCTCAGAAGTCCCTCAGTGATATCACGGATCTCAATCAGATTGTGCCTGGGAGCCGGAAAGATGTACGCTGTTGTCAGGTCTAGATACAGAGGTTGCGAATGACTGGACTGCGGCATTACCATGGAGGCCGAGGGTCACTGGCGATGTAGACAGGACAGTCTTGAGGGCTTACGCTGTAACAGTACAAAGCTCGATCTCTGTCTAATATTTCCGCAGTTACGAGCTCGTTTGATATACTGGACAGGGTAGGAAGCAAGCAAAGGCAGCAGCAGTGCGTGGTGCAAGGCAGCAGTCACCGTCCTCGTGATGGAGAGGATACGGAGAAGAATTGCAAATACTAACTCATGCTTTATTATATAATTGCTAGTCACTGCTCGTCACCGCTGCTGTAGTCGTCCTGCCGTAAAGGCGTCGACGTTATCCTTCTCCCCCTCCGAACCGCTAATCTCACAGGGCCCTGAAAAAGCACATGAGCAAAAATGAGGATGATCATCCCAACCCCCTTATAATGAAGTCCAATAAGGTGGGGATATCCCTATAAAATGCTTATGCTGATGTCCTTTTTGGGTCCCTAGCGTAAGTCCGAAGCCGAACCGGGAAAACTTCGCGACCCTGGCACAGCAGCTGCTGGTGGAAGAAGCGGTACAAGGCAGGCCAAGCTGGAAGCGAAGACACACGCACCTGGTCCTCGGTATCTGCCATAGGGCCATTTGGATTTGGGGGTTGGGGTTTATGAGGCTCTGCGTGACAGGGTTCTGAAACCTCCCACCCCACCGCCGAAGCACCGCATCTCAACAACGCTCAGACTCTGATCATCTCTTGTCTGCATCACTAAACCCAACAATCGCGAGTAAGCGACAATAATACCCTAGGCAGTCGCAGGGTTTAGAAAGGAAAGCAAGGAAAGCTCCCACAGGCATCGAGTCATCCGAGCGTCTGCGCACTGAAAAGCACGGACGAGAGCCGCCGAATGAGATACGACGTTGCGAAGATGAGCTTCTAGAGACTCGTAGAGAGCCAGATTCAAGGGCTTTGACCTGCGCGTTTAAACCTTTTGGGGGGGAGCGGTTCGGTTTTAGCTACAGGGCTTTCGGGCTTGTGCCATAAGGGTTTCGGTTTCAGGGGGACTTGTGGATTCGGGTTTTGCAAGATCTTTCAGCAAGGATCGTCAGACTTCTTGCGAGAAAAAGACCTTTCTCGCCTCACCCCCGGCTACGCTGCAAACTCAAGATCTCGGCAAATTCAAGATTGACTCTCTTTATCTCTTCATGAACCCGTGCTGAGGAAGCGGACCTGCTGGTTCTCGGTCTACTTACTGTACCATGACTGCTATGACTTGTGTTCGAATTTTCGCTTGCTAACATGATCATGACTCAACGACACCCCTGAGCTACCCCAAGCGCCCCCACTGCGAGGGTTCGAATCATTAGGCTTTGCTGTTGTCGGCCTTCTAGCAATCGAACACTCTCGGCGAGACTTGATCAGCGCTTACGCAGCCCATGCCATCCTCAAAGGTCATGCTCAAGTCACGATGACTGATGTTCAACCTCCCTCCCCCTCTCCCACCAGTAGGTGGTCTCTGCAGCTGCATAGGGTAGCAAAGTTTTCAGTGCGTTGAGGTCCTGGAGAAACCCAGCGGTTGCCTGCAAGCACAAGATGCATCTCGGGAGTTTCAACAACAGCTATGACGTGATGTCAGATCAGCTGGTGTAAATGCTAAACAAAGCTTAATGATACAACTTGTACTGTACCAAAGTACACGGCTTCATCCTGCGTCTTCACACTGGTAATGTTCTACTGAAGCATGTCATATCAAGCTACACCTTGTATTGCTCTCCTTAATCCTGAAAACCTGCCTCTTTACATTTCCTTATTGTGATTCTTTATATAAGTCCTTAAAAAGGTAGGTTGTTCGGGGTTAAGGCTTGGGGTATGACTCGGAGCACTTGCAGTGAGAAGTCAGCAGTACTCGGCCGGTTCTGGCTGGGTATGTTATGGCATGATTGGGGTAAGCAGGGTAAGGGAGTACTACTACTCGGCTTCAGCGCGGAATCCATTTGTGACACAACTATCCGCCAGAAAACCAAACCCACGGCAGGGGTGCATCTCAATCTGCCTGACGGGAAGTCCCCAAATCGAACCTTTGCCAATTACCCGACTCTTCCACAAACTTCAATGCCAGCTGCTCACTTCTTAACAGGCAGGATAGCTTTGGTTGGTTGAATTTTCAGGCGAGGAGTGTTCGCAACGAACAGAATGCGACTTGGATCTTCGGGTCTTCTGATAGTGCAGAGGTTCAGGCTTGCAGATGCGTGTTTTGAAGCCCCTCATCGTGTTTTTACATCGCAAACCCAGCTTGAATCTTCAATTCGGAGCATGTGGCTTTGTCGGCCCTAGCAGGTTGCCTCTTTGTGCTCCCGCGCGAAGGTTTCTGCGTTCTGCCAGGGATGGAAATCACACTGACTGCTCATCCAGAAGTCATGGATGGATCCCAAGCTGTGCACCAAAAACTCTCGAGTCCCTTGCGCCCTGCACAATCAACTCTCAGCCTGCAAACGGCAATCCGCAAGACTGTGCAGTCCTCCCGAGACATCCCCTGCTCTTTGCAAGCTCGCACGCCCCTGATAAGCCGTGTGAATGCTCGCATCAGCCGCTGTCGCGCCTGGACATGGGCACGTAGTTCTCGGAGAAGCTTGGTCTCACTTCACCGTCACGCACAACTTCGCACGATGTATATGAGGGGATTGGGGCGTCTGAAGAAATGCTGAACCTCAAAGGGCGCTAATTATCTGCAAAAACTATGGCCCACACCTGCCTGGTTTGAGGCTCGTGAAGCCAGCAAAGCATCCACCACCAGCATGATTCTGGCGGCACGGATGGGGGTTCATGTTGTCTTAGGCTTGAAGCCAAACGAGGCTTCAATTGATGTCGAACCGCTTAGTATAGGCGCCTTAAGAATTAGAATAGGGTCTTGGGGCCCATTATACTATACTATAAGAAATCTCCAAAATATAGTATTGGTAATGTTTTGGGGCCCTGAAAAGTAACCTGTAAGAAAGCTGTCCCATGAGCTTACAAGCTTGAGGTCTGCCAATCTGTTCGAGTCAACCCGCCAGTCCCGATCCCGATGAGCGTCTGCAGGATCGTGTTCCTCAGGCACTCGAAGCATGCTTCTTCTATGCGAAGAGTCTGCCCCTTCATTTTGGTTTTGCAAGGCTCCCAGCATCAACTCGGCCTCGAAAGTAGCATGCTTGCAAACCATGGGGGAGGGCCAACACCAGAACCAGCACGAACGGAAGCAGCACGAGATATCAGTGTGGTTCCGCATGAAGAGCTTCTGTTTCCGGCTGCGGCTAGAGCCGAGGCCTAGCGGTTCTCATGAAGGGTGAAATATGCTGACTATCAATCAAACGAAACAAACTACCAACCTGGCCATCTCAACTGCATTGTCTTCTAGCGCAGAACGTGCTGCATGGAATGGTCTCCGCAAGTGGCTAACTCGTGGGGTCTCCTGCACAGCTGGCTAACGACTCCTTTGCGTCAAATTTCTCCACCTACAGGCACACCCTGCCGCAAGGTACAGTAACCGGACCGGGTGGCACAGCAACCGTACGTTGTCTCAACGAGGTGTTCGTCTCTGACCGATACTCTGCAAACACAAGCTGTATGCGACAATTAACTACATTCATGCCGAGGATCATCAATGTTGGAAGAACTGTGTCTGTGGTTCTCTCATTCACTTGGCGCAGGACGCCGTTGGACGGAATCATGCTCGATGCAGCATATGCGGCTGTGAGCCCACACACGTAAGCAAAGTCGACGGCATCCTCCGAGTGGATGTATTGAAAAAAGGTGAGGCCTACGATCAGCCACATCGACATGGCGAAAGCGATCACGTACAGCACGTTCTTGACCTCGTTGGTCAAACTCACTCGACAAGGATTGCACTGGAAGGGCGCTGCTAGACTGCTCGCGCGTACAAACGCCATAGCTAAGAAAATCCACCTATATCGACCAGGCGACTGCCAAAGAGAGCTGTAGAATCGCCCCTGCAGCCTTTCCAAGCACCACCCCGGACAAGCGCCTCAAGGTGACAGATGGCGTCGCTCCCGTGTACGTGTACCTTAGAAGGAACATGGGTCAGGTACATGTGGCCGTAACGCTTGTAAGCAAGACTCGCATGTCCTACATAGACAGACCCGAAGAAAGGCAAGTCTGGCGGAATAGCTGCACGATGACGCCGATGGTCGAGGCCGGGTATGCAGAGTACGAGGGCATTGTGTTCCACAGACCAACCCAACCCAGCCCAAAAGCAAGGCAGATCGAGATGGTATTGCGTACCACGAAACGGGGATGAGTAGCTGCAGTGTCGTCACTGTGGCATAGCAGCTTGAACAGAACCAGCCGCGTCTTTGAATACCAGCCCCCGCACGATCTGTGCCAGCTCTCCTCCTGGGGAGCTGGGCTAGACCTGGGTTTATCGGCAGCCCACAAACACAAGGACTGTTCTCATTTATAAGCAACATGGCACCAAAAACAACGCGGCCTAGAAGCCGGGTGCCGGATACTGCGCCGGTGGTGGCCAGGAAATCCTCCACGATGTCTTCGATCTCGACTAAGACCATGCTGGCTGCGCAAAGGAATGCATTGATCTCGGGGCCTTCGTCCTTCCAGACCTGACCAGGCAGACTGCTGGCCTTACTTTTATGAGCAGCATTGCTATTGAATACTATTTGCTACTTTTCAAGCAATGGACGTTGGTAATGCCAGCATCAATGACGATTTCTTATTGTCATTGGTATGGTTTCTGTTGCCCAAACCTATGGTTCTTGTTGCCTAAACCTATGCACGCCTACCCTGCCATGTTCGGCTAAGAGGCAGCGAGACCCATCTGGCTACTGCCTGGCTCCTCCCGCGATGCCTCCTCGGACCGTGGCGGATCGGGTAGTGGGATTTATCCACAACTTAAGGCGAAAAGGATTGATTCAAATTCAGGGCGTAGGGTCGGAGGTTGAAGGGTTGAGTTTAGGGTCTCTAGGGCTCAGGCTGGAGGGAAGTAGAGTCAACTCTGTTCCTGCTTCACCGGATGCTGCCATGACTATACCGCTACCACAAAACTGCTTCTGATCTGAAAGAGACTCGAGCTTTAAGGCTCGAAGACAGGCCCTCAATCCCTAGCTTAGTGTCGGTCAGCGGTTGAATCCAAACGAATAGTGTCCGCCCACGCTCTGAAGCAGCTTTGCGACGACCCCAAAACCCTAAGGCCGAAACTCGAAGCCCGGAGTATCCAAGCTACTGAGAAGGCGCAGCGCAGGACTAGGGCCATCTTTGTGGCCGTTCGCTCGCTGTGCCTGGGAATCTCTAGCATCCGCCCTTCCTGTATCTGACCATTGGGGGTGTGTGAGCTATGACCCTTGGTAGTGTAGTTCTACGGCATATGAGGGTCTAGGTCCTAGGTGATTGTTCGTGTGTTTGCTTGTGGGAAGGGGTTTAGGACCGGGAAGGAGGTCGTTCAGATGTTCGTCAAAGTCAGTTTACCAGGTTACCTTCAATGCCATAAAGATGCCCTTCATAGGAATCTCTGGTACCGCAAACCAGCCGTTCACCCTGGGCTTCAATTGCTCTCCACTGTCCTGCAACCAGATTATCTTCAGGAACCCAGGTAAGTCCGAACCCCCCATCCGGCTTGATTTACCTTTGGTTAGTAGGGAATGAGGAAGGGGGTACAAGTATAAGTACTAGTACTACCATGCTTCCATTCCCTACTAACCAAAGCTAAGTTGAAGACTGGCGGCTGCTGCAAGAGCTGGAAGGCTTCCTCGCTCACCCAGGCTCCCGAAGTGTCCACCAAGGCAGCGGTAGAGTAGACGGCTGGGAGCCGGTCCTCAGATTTTAGTCGCATCCCTGATGTGGAGTGTTCTGAACCAAGAACAACTAAGTTCTTCGTTGCAGGCGATTAGAATTGTGAGGTGTGGTGGCGGAACCGGGGGGGGGGAGGGGCGGGCAAGAGCGGCAAGGCGCCTGAAACACATGACTTGCGCAAAGACTCCGGGCATCTCCGATGTGTTGTGCGCGAGACACCTTTGAGTTCGGGCGCATTCCTGAAACATATAAAGCAACAAATCCAACACCTGAAACCTCCACGAATCTGCGACTGCACCTCGAGGAATTGGACAAAGAAGCATAAGCTGCAACTCATGCAGTCGCACAGGGCCGATTAAAGGATTGTTGAAAAGTGTCGTATTCAATTCCGAAATCTCCATCTCAATCCTCTTATTCATGTGCGGGCCAATCTGCTCACCCCAGGCAGTTCACTGACGACCGAAGCTTTCTCCCCGACGTGCAAGCCCGGATACGTGTAGCCCGACAGAACTGCCCCGAAGTTCTGAGTATCTCGGACTTGCGATTGCGAGATGGTGGCTTGGTTCGTAAATTTGGCGGCCCTACTTCTTAGCAGACAGGAGGCTGGAAATCTGGAACTGATACACCCGAAAGTCAAAACCCGTCACTCCACACCAAAGCCTAAAACCGCCGGACACCCCACAACCCGAAACTCAACCCTGTTTTTAAGAAGGCTTCGCCTAGGCGAGCCAGCGCAGAATGATTGAACAGCACAAAGCAGGCGTGTAAAACCAATTCAAAAAGCATGGCGCGTGTTGGTGGCTTCGAAACTCTGGGCCTACAGCCGGCCAGACGCAGGACATGCAGAAGCCCGACTCCCTTGAGTAGCGACTGGGTGGGGTGCCCGCTCCGCTGGTGAAGCTTAACCTAAACCCTGTTCTACCCATATGGGCCCCAAAGTAGTTCATTTTTGGGAAATATTTTATAGGATTCTTTGTACGCACCCCAAAAAGGAAGTACTTTGGGGCCTTAGGGTACCTTCAGTATCTTCAGATCAGGGTCCAGACATCGGCGTAGGCCGTCCACAAGCAGCTTCAGCCGCTGGTAGCGCTTTTTGTCGTAGTCGCTGCGGCACTTCCAGTACGCATAGGCGTAGCCCTGTGCGCAGCCGTGTAGTGGCAGTAGTGGGCGGCAGTAGTGGCTGCAGTAGTGATAATATCAGTAGCAGCCGCTGCAGCAGTTGTAGTAGTAAGAGTCATCGTCGTCCCAGTCTGGTAGGGGGAGTGGTCGCGATAGCAGAAGCAGTATCAGCAGCGTTTGTGATGGTAGTAGTTTTGCCTCGTGCGTGGCTGAATGGTAGTAGTAGCTGTCGTGGTCGTAGCAGTTCAGCAGTCGTCGTCGCCGTGGTCGTGGTCGTGGGAGCGGTAAGCAGCAGCTTCAGTAGTCAGTGTAGCGCAGTTATTTAGACAGGACAGGGACGCCCAGCTGTTCCAGCTATTCAGTTCGAAGTGTAATTATTCATGGCTCAAACTAAACTGTTTCACAAGAGGCCGTAGAAAAAAAAACTGAGCCCTATTGAGTCGCCTCAAACCATGCGGAGGCAAGACTCCTCTCAAGTCTTTGCAGAAGCTGCAGAGCGCACTGCTCCACAGTCCGGATTTTGAGGCGGAGTACACCATCGAGGGAACTTGGGATATGCTTCACCAACCTTGGGCAGCTCTTGGATCGGGTATGTGGGTGAAGCAGTTGGGTGAATACTGGTTCCTTCGGCTACGAGGTCTGCCAGATCACCAGCTCAGTTAACAAGAGGAGGCCCTTCAATTACATTCGCCTTGACCCTCGGCCCGCCTCATGCACAAGCCTTAGAGCCATGAAGGTCTCTCAACGCCTGCACCCACACCACACCGTCGCGTCGAGCCTGAACAACACCAACCTGAAGCTTCGATGGTAACAGTGCGCTCTCCAGCAAAGCAACACTCTCGTGGCTTGCAGGGCATCGCAGGCCCAGTCCCCAGCAGCTTCAGTCGCTGTAAAGCGGAGCCGCGGCAGGAAGAAGCAAAGCAAGGACCTTGATAGCGGAAAGGGCCTACAAGGCTTGGGATTGGCTGACCCTTTTCAAGACGTTGGAGTGTGGCCTCTCTTGACTTGCATATGTTGATGCACAGTTTGGCTTCACTATCTCGTTGGCCTGAGAGAACGGTATGATTGTATGTATTTGGATGCCCCGAGATTGGCTGATGAGCTTGGAAGCACCACTCCCAAGGTAAGACACATCCATTCCATGATACTGTCAAGCCCAGGGGCATCACAGAGGCAGCCAGGATCATGGAAAGATAGTCCGTGGCATAGGTCGGCTCAGTCGAGAAGCCGTCGGCGGAAGGATTCACGAAAGTCATCATAAAACTGACGTGCGTCGATAGAGCAAACATCCGCGGGTTGGGGTCGAAAGGCACAGAGAAGCAAAGGAGCACGAAAAGGGCAAAGTCCACCCACAGGACGCCCAATCTCAGAAAGCCGGACCATGTCAGCTTATCGAGCCAGATGTTCATGAAGCAATGGGCGGCGTTGTCAGCGAACCTGGTCCGTCCTATACAACCAGAAACGATACTTCTTCTATGTTCTTATCTACTAGTTGGGTGCTCATCTTGTGAATCTGTTCTTGGAAGCGAGAAGCCTCACTTCGCCGTTATTGCACAACGGAAGCCAGTAAGAGACAGCGTACGAAGCGGTCTGGTAAGACTCTCCTTGAATAGGAACGGAGACGGAGAACTTGTCTCCGTTGTAGGCACCGCCGGCGAATAAGAATCCCAGCACCCGGTTCAAGAACATGACATTCACATACGCTAGGCACGAGCCGAAGAGGCCCTGCAAGGTAAATTTGGTGGTCATGCCAAGGTCCACATAAACGGAGAAAACAAACTGCAGCAGCATCGTTCCCCAAAGATTCCTTTGCTCTTGCGCAGCACACGCGAAAGAACGGCTACCGAACTCCTAGGGTCCATAGAGTCTCAGAATGACAAAACTCAAAAGGCACTATTAGTGTCCAGGAAGGGCTCAGAAATGCACTGGGTTTCGAGGGTACACATTCGGTCGTAAACCTCCAGAGGCTCCATTCCACCCGGCACACGCCAGGATGCATGTTGCAGTCAGGTAAGGACAGGTCCCGACACCAAGCGTGATTCCTTGGCTGCAATTTGTCAGGGCCACATTCTCTCTCAGTTTGCTGCTCCAATAAGATCCTTGCGGGGGCCCGCTTTAAGATGCGGATGGGACCTAAACTTGGCAATCAGGGAAGACACTTTGACTGCCGCACCCCCACCGCATCACGGACCTAAACCTCATCACTGCTATCAACATTATGTGCACGATCACCGCCACTGCCATAGCAGTTATGGCTGCTATGACCACGGCCGTGATGCTGTTGCAACTACTGATTATGTAGTCTGCTACGGCTGCTACCAGCGGTACCATTTCTGCCACCACTACCACACTGCTGCTACTGCTACTACGACTACTGCTACTACGACGACGACAACAACAACTACTACAAGCGCCGCTGCTGCTCCTCCTGCTGTTGGTCAGACTACCTCGAGTGCCATCGATTCCCACGCCACTGCTAATGCTGTTTGTCTCCGGTCCGTCGTCGCCTCCATTCAGTGGCTCGCTTCATCATTACTGTGCTGACCATGGCTCCCGCACAAGTCCCGGCCTTCCCGGCATCGTAATGCTTTCGGGGCTTTCAGGACAAAGAGAAATCTCGGGATCCAGACTTATGCAGCTAAGTTTCACAACGATGCCCTTGAAAACTCTAGGGTTCAGGCTACCCATAGGGATACGAAATGACGGATGCTTAATATAGGGGCCTTAATTAATAATTAGAATAGGGTTTTGGGGGCCCAGTATATACTATAACTATAATAAGGACCCCCCCCCAAAAAAAAAAATAGCATAGGTAACTATTTAGGCCCCTAATGGTAACGGTCTTGATTTCCGTCCGTGGCACATCACTGCTGCCCATGGCCAGATGATGATCGGCAGGGACAGTACCACAGCCCAGGTGGCCACTAAAACCTGGATCTATAAGGGTACTATAAGGGATTTATAAGGCTTACTACACGGGATCTATAAGGGTACTATAGGGGGCTTAATTGTCCTATAACTTACCTTTGTTTAGTAGGGAAAGGAGGAATGGGGTGCAAGTATAGCTACTGTTACTACCATTCTTCCATTCCCGACTAACCCAAGGTAAGATGAGGACACCGACTCATCATGAAGCGCATTGATTTGTTGGGACGTGTCACCACAATGGAAACGGTTCTCAAAGCTAATTAGTCTATGAGTCTACGCGTACTCTTCGGCTGTCTATTTTGGAACCTGGGCTCCGGGTTTGGCATTTCAACTCGCTTTCACCTCTCATGCTAGGATAGACTGCGAGAAAGCTCCGGATTCGAGTCGAAGCTTCGTAGTGTTTCAGGTTTAACGTTCCGCGTCTCAGGGCGCTTCAAATACTGTTCTCGCCCGAAAGCTAGGGTCTCTGACGAAGCATCCAACCTTGAGTGCACAACTTATATGTTCCACCACAGCCCAGGGGCGCTAATTTGCACGTTGCGCACGAAGCTTCGCTTCGCCAGCTGTGTTGTCAGCCGACCTGGAACATGGCCACGGGCCGGGTACTCGGAAAACAACAACCCATGAGGAAATGATGAACACGCTTCGTCAACATAGATAAACCCAAAGGGTCCAAGTAATAGTATAGTACATACTTTTGGGGCCCGAGTACCTACTATAATGGTACTTGGACCCTTTGGGAAAGTTGAATGGCCATGGTTCTCGCTCAGCCCCTTTCTTTACTCCCTGGCTCTGTGTCCGCCATGGGCGCTTGAAACATTCTTGAAAGCATTCACATGTCTAAAAGAACTGCAACTGTTGAAGTCTTAAACCTCCTGCGGCCTGCACGTCTACCATAGTCATACGATGTGGCAAGGGCAGAGTAGGGCCAAGCAACTTTGCAATGTCCTACTTAGCAGAGCGAAGTTTTCCGTTCCTCTAAGAAGGGATATCTCTTCGTCTATAAAGTAGAAGCCAGGAACATGGCTTTGGGAGGATTAGTGCTAGGATCCCTTATGTTTTACCTTAAGGGCACGAGGATAATGATGTTCCAAGTTTCCGGCTTCTTTTATAGGGGGGTCCAGATTCAATCGTGAGCAGTATGGATATTGCCGCCCGGCGATACAGCAACATCAAGAGATTGATTTAAACGGCTGCTGGTCGCAACCCGCCAAGGCGAACAAGCCGCCAAAGGACACTTTGCAAACTCGCTGCAAATCGGGCATAAGGCCCGAGCCGTTTGTGAAAGCCGCAATGTCTTCAAGCACGTGGAAGTGATTGATCGAGGACGGGTCATCCCTGGGCTGTATCACGGGGCTGCACATCTGGACGTTATGTCGCAGGCATCGATGAAACATCCGGTTAAGGCCTGTGTCTATACCCCTGACTCAACACATCGAACCAATTCGAGTCGCGAATGACATTTGCGCCACTTCACAATCGAGGAGCTCTACCGACGTCGTAGGCACCGTGATTTCCAGATCGTCAGAGGCGGCGGCCGCCATCACGGTCCGGTTGAAGTAATGAAAAGAACAGGCCACTTCGTTTCTTGGGTGCTTTCAAACGAATACGAGTGAGTAAGCATCCTGATAAGTGGCTCTGGCGCTCGTAGCTGAATGTGTCGTTTTCTGGCAGTACCAATAACGGTAATCTTTCATCTCCGAAGCTTCGGGGCGGCTGCGGCTTCCCGGCATGCTCATCCACAGCTTGCACGCTGGATTTAGAAAAACATGCTGTCTACGGTGGGTTCAGCAGCATGTAACATGGAGCTAGGACTGTGCTCTGAGGATCCTCGAGGCGTACATACTCTCAAGAAAAGTCGCTTCGCAAGCCCCTTTTCGTTCTGCCAGCTGGGCGGCGCAGGATTCAGGGCGCCTCCGCAAAGTGAGAACTGCGGGGAATGGCGTGGGGGGGGATGTCAAGGGATTGTGGCGACGAGAGGTAATCATAAGGAGAAGTAGTGATTGCGTGCCGGAAGGTGTCTGGCGCCCCAGGGTTTTTTTTTCCCTCTCGCCCCAGGGTCAGTTTCAGGCTTTGGGTCGCGAATTTGTGGCAGAAGGGCGACTCCTACACTGATTTCTACACTACACTTGATGACACAACGAGTAAAAACCCACCGTTCCTACTTCCAGGGGTTCGACTGAAGGCCTGGGCGCGTGCGGCCTGCCTCAGTGCTCCCAAAGCTGAGATGTTTGGAAGTTACTGTAGGGGCCTAAATAATTGCCTTACGATTTTGTTCTAATTATTAAGGTCCCTATGTTATAGTGCTGCTGAGGTTTTATGATTTAGGCACCTCAGCCTCCTCGATAAAGAAGAACTCCTGGGTGGATCCGTTGATCCAACATGGCCGCCTTGGCTCAAAGTGCATCGTGACGTCTGACTTAGCAATCCACCGGTTTACCTCGAGCCGTGGTGGACGTCAATATTTTTGATTTGAAAGCCAGTCCACGCCTAAACCACACGACTCTCAAACGCAGGGGACGACGTTGCAAAGGTAAGGGCAACAGCAGCGGCACCTAGATCAACAGAAGCAACTGACTAGCGTGCTGGATGCAGGTTGTCCCCGCGCATACAACTTGCTTGTACAGCGGCTGCTGTCTGGAGCAAACGCCACAATTTTGCCGCCGGGAAAGAGGATGCAGCACTGAACCCTTGAAGCGAATTCCCAAGATGCTGAAACATGGCACATTGCCCGTCATACCTTTGCCGAGCAGCTCATCGACTTCACCAGGGCCAACATGAACCCAAGGGGCCTCACGAAGGACGACGGATCCCAGGCTTCGTGGTAGGAAGTGTCGGGGCTCGGGACATTGTGGGTGCATTGCCCAAGGAATGCATGATGCCTTCGAATCCGAAGTGCATGAGGGTAGCCTTCGAGCCGTTTTTGGGCGACTGAGTTGACAACAAAACGCGAAATAGTCAATACCAAGGCAGATGAAACAATAACATGCAGTGTTCTGCAATCCCAATCGCATTCTTCACGAGTGTGGGAAGGCATTCACTCTTCTCCTTGGCCCACGATCACTTTGCACCTGTTTTCCGTTTCAATTAAAGCATAAGGAACGGAACAAGCAAGGAAAAAGACTGCCGGTCAGGCTATTGCGGCTAGTGTTGATGTTGATCGCTGAGCTTCCGGAAGTGCCTAAGTCGCTCGAACCGGAATCCAACATTTCCAGAACAAAAACCGAACCCGCCAAGTGTTAAATCTTAAAACCCCGCGTGCAAGCCTGCGGCTCGAGGCTGTCCAACCCTCAATGCACCCTAGGCCCTAGTCACTAAGTCTAACATATGAAAACCTAATAGACCTGATCACTTTCAAGCAGAAAAGTAAAAAGAGCCGCAGTGGCCGGGTTCATCTCGACGAACCCATCTTCAGAGCCATCTTGTCGCCGGCAGACCCAGGCATAGATGGAGCCCTCCAGTGGCATCCTGACAGAGTGAGAATGCTGTGGCTTAGAGTATTTCGGGCTCAGATGGGTTGACGTCAGGCGGTTAGCTCAAGGGTTGTCTGAACTCAACGCTGGCAAGGCCTTTACTTGTCGGGGCCACTGGTCTTATGGGCTCTCGGGTGTAGTAGTAGGGTTTACAGTTACAAGATTCGGGATCACAGAACGCACTCCCATAATGCAACACCTGAACTTAACCTCCTTCAAGCCGTCTTCTTGGGGCCTTGACACATCGAGCCCTGACTCACGGACTCAACCCAAAACTGGCTTCCCTTCCCTCCCCTCCTGAACCACTCGTCGCCCAAGGAGGAGAGTACGGCCTGGGCCCAGGGCTTCAGCTTTTGGATCTCAGGGTGAAGTACGAGGCTCTTGGTCTCTCGCGATTGCGCAGTGAAGATGATGCATCCGAAGGATGGCAGCTTGCCGCTCTTCGTCGTGGGCTTCCGCTGCATGACTGGCAACTCTATAGTTATATTGAAAGCACCTGTTTCAGTTTGCTGTCAGCCTCGTGCCGGTCATCATGGGTTAAGCCTAAGCATGAAGCCATATGGAGCCCTGAATCTAGACTTCAGGCTCCCATATGATCATGGTCATCTTATCCTCGTGCGATGTGGAGGATGCCATGTGTTTCATGACCCATCGTAGTCTCGATTCGACTATCAGGACTCTAATCATAATCCGCTTCATTTCACTTCACTACGCTGACTGAGGCTCTTCTGGGGAGGGCACGGCATCTTGCGGCAGAGAAGTCTCCGGCTCCGCCTCCGCGTCGGCATCCTCGTCTGCGGAGTCCTCCCACTTTCTGAAACTATGGGCTCGATTACACATGCAAGGAACATGAGAACGGTCGTATGCTTTGGACCGGCTTTGGATTTAAGACAAGCATGATCTAATGAACATGGGCAGCTGGCGGCTGAAAAGTATCGGCTACAACATCAACATGTGACACATGGACTCTCATGATCTCTTCTACTGCTGATATTAGTGTCATCGTTTTTCGATTTCCCAACATGTTACAGACTGCGCAGTCTGTGTTGCAGTCTAAATACGGTTTCCACCACTTTTCCACCGCTCTGGAAAACACCTGCACGCGAAGGCTTTCAAGCTTTCAGATGGTTCAGCAATATACAGCGAACGGAGGACTTGTCATGAAACAAAGGCAGGACGGACTAGTTGACTCGGAGAAAGTGGCAGCGTGGCCACAAATTATACACCGAGAGACCCCTGGTTGATGGCAACGACCCTGCCACCCACCCTTGCGCACCCTGGCATACAAGGCTATGTGGAGGAAACGTGAGCTTGCTCTCTCGGCGCTCTGTGCAGACTCCTCCTGGCTCAAGTCGAAGCACATCGGCGGCGTTGCAGCTGCAGGGGGCTCGGATGCACAGCCAGAGATGGAACTTATTGGGTTCAAGAGCAATGGAGGCGCGGGCGCAATACTGCCCTGATTTGGAAGTTTTAAAGATGGGGAAGCATCGGGAAGCATATCGCAGGTTGATGCACTCCACAATCCAACACTTCAGAGACGCAGGGCTGGTGCGCTCATCTAGACTTCCATGCAGCGGGTACTCTCACACAAGAACACGTCGATTGACACCTTGTTTTGAAATTCCACCAGCCGTCGCGAACGCACGGTGTCGCACCCGAAAGATTGCACCTGCATCTTTCTTGTGTTGGATCCACCAGCCCCTCGTACAGCCAACTCTGAACACGAATCTGCAGAGGCCTGCCATCTTGTTTCGTCGGACGCCTCCGATGCCATCATCGCTGCCCGCCTGCAATGCAGTGTTGCCGGCAGGGTTCAAGGTCAAAGCAAACCGCATCCTGAGAGTCGCAACTCTGTATTCCAGCACACAGCACTCATGTTCCTGCACTGCCGCTTATTCGATACCTCTGTTTACAGTAACATACGGCAACTACTGTGTTCGGGGGTGCATATCCTTGTCTCATCGATGAAGTTCCGATGTTTAATTGAATGACTTCCCGTCGAAAATCCAGCCGCAACACCCTCAAACCAAACCCTAATACGACAAAGCAGGACTAGGAAAGCCGAACACTCCCAAACTCCAGAACCCTGAAAGCCTCCACGCCCCAAGCCTTACTTCTGCAAGGCACTAGTTTTACAAGAATTTCCGTACCCTAAACCCTAAACCAATATACCTATAGTCTCTATTGCAGTTCCTTTTTTGGGCTCACCAAGTTTTTGGCTGGGATCCTATACTAATTATAAAAAAAAGCTAACCAAGAAAAAAAACTACAATGGAGACTATAGTATACTATAGTATGCTATATTATATAAAATAAAATAAATAAATATATATATATAAATATGCATACATATATATATATATACATATATATATATATATATATATATATATACATATATATATATATTATATTATATTTGTACCTTTGAAGACGGCAGCCTCGAAGGGATCCGCCGGAAGCTCCGGCGGACCCGGGCTCGGGGTTCTCTCACGAAGGCGGTCTTTGCGCAGCCATTCTGTTCAGGGGCGCTTTGGGGTTTCTAGGGGGTTATAAGGTCCAGGGTTTATAGGGTTTAGGGTTCTGTTCAGGGGCGCTTTGGGGTTTATAGGGGGTTATATAGAGTTATAGGGATTATAGGGTTTAGAGCTTATAGGGTTTAGGGTTCTGTTCAGGGCGCTATAGGGGGTTATAGGGTTCAGGGTATAGGGTTTAGGGCTCTTTGGGGTTTATTTACAGGGTTGTTTCCCTCCTACTTAGCAAGGATAAAAGGGGTTAGAGTTTAAGGTTTATTTTTTCCCTCTCGCATGGCTGGCAACAATGAGGGTCTATAGGGTTCAGGGCTTAGGGCGCAACTTGTCGTGATTTAAGGGCTTTCGGGATCTGGGGCTCCGGTGGGTGTAGAGCTTCGGGAGTAGACTTGTATTCCTGATGCTCGAGGTGCTTCGGATTGGGAGGGTTGGCTTTAGGCTTAAAGCACGGAGACGCTCAGAAGATCTGCTTGCCGAGCTATCATAAGCGTTTCGGGAAAGCACAGTCTAGACCAAACATGCACTCTCGAATACTTACTGTAGCATCCACACAGCGGCGGCGGCGGCCACTCCTCAAAGCTAAACCGGCCTGGTTCAGCTCCGGGGCGCTTGTGAAAGGCGCGGATGAAGAGTCGCTGCCCTGGCTCTTACAGAATGCAGCAGGCTCTGCACGGCTTGGGGGTTCATCATGTGCTTGCTTATAAGCGTTCAACACCCAGCCCGGTGCTTCCCGTTGAAAAGACGCTCAGTGTGCAAGCCAGCTTTGCGGGAGAGTAACAACAAGAATGTTGGAACAGCGGAAGCCAAAAAAACAAGTAATTGTAGTCATCGTAGCAACCATAGACTCGCAGTGACAGCAATAAGGACGCCAAACATGGCTAACAGGTACATGATGCAGACCCTTCCAAGCGTCACAGTAGCTGTCATGATAGTGTACTCACCGCCTGTGGTAGCCTACTTCATGTCAGTGGCACGCCTCTACGCCGAAGTGCTCGAAATGTAACGAATTGTGAGGCACGTGGGGTCACCGAGCCCATCTGAGGAATCTCGGAATATAGACAGTGCATGAGGGTTGAAACTGTACCCGTTCGAGAAAAGCCTCTTGAGACTGTCAAAGGAAAGCTAAGGAACGGTAGGGTGTGCTTGTACATAGACTGCATGCGTACAAGCGAGTACAATGAGTCTTCGAACACCTTTGAGGGGCTAACGACAAATTACGAAGCCCTGCCCGGCGGCATCCTCTGCTTGTAATCTGGAACCGTGGCTTGTCTTTGGAATAACTTTCCTGGCTACGGGCACAGGCATTAGCAGGCACACGTCGTGATAGCACCCTGCAGAAAGCGGCTGAGCTCCACAACCGACCCGACGTTGGGAAAGCACTGGCTTTGAGGAGCACAAACGGCGTGGGTCCTGGACAACTTCCTTTACGTCCAAGGCGGTCCATCGTGCGAACTCATCCAATTCCAGGACCTTCTGCATAAATGCTTTCGGATGCTTTCGGGACGTGGTTTTATCATTGCGACAACAATGGCTACACTTCTGTGCCTGTCGGAGATCAATATACCCATCCTGGTCCATGTCCTGAGTTTTGGAGCGAGGACAGAGATCACCGGCTGATCCTTGACCCAGACCCAGACTTCGACTGCTGGCTTTGCACAAGCAAAGAATCCAAAATGCTGCATCCTTACTGTGGGGAGTTCTCCTGTGCAAGAGGCCTTTGCTAAAAGTACTTGCCTGGTTTTGGGGTGCATCTGCAAGCCAAGACGCGATTCCCATCTTTCTGAAAAAACCATCTTTGTATCTCAGCCTGCAGCGCAACGGGTCGTTCAGTCACTGCTGCGAAACCACGTATGCCCTCAAAGAAATGTGGCAGAGACAGAATCCGCAAAACGATTCGTGGACACATACTCGGTGATCCTGCCGGAAGCATGCCAAGAAGCACTCGTCGACACAACGGATCCGCAACTTAAATTCATCCTGACCTCAAGTCTTTCAAATCTGCAAACAAGAGTTCCAGCCAAGCTGAATCCTCCGAAGCTCGGAAAGCAAACAGCCGAGTACGCGTATTCCTGCTGAACAGGGGAGGGCTCCACAATCCGGGCACACCCTTTCCACGACCAGGCCTCGTTGCTAGCAGCCGGGACAGCGGAAGTAGGCTTTGGCGCAAGTTTCCTGCTTCTGGGGTTTGACGGATCTGTACACAGACAGGTCTCGGGTGTTCCCGAGAGCTTCCTAAGACTTTGGATGGCCTCAGGCTTAATCAACTTGACTTTGCCGGTTAGGCCACCCAGTTTTACGGCCTTGCGCCTGTGCACCTCAGCTTTCTCAAAACACTCCAAGCTTCCAACATATTTACCAGGCCAAGGCTTTCTCATCCCTGAGCCGTGGAGTTCTGCGACGAAACAAAGAGACGAGAGAAAGGCCTGAGCCTTTTGGCACGTGTTTGTTCATCTTTCGGGTTGCTTCGTACCATATATATTTTATGATTATACCGACAAGTAATCAGAAATAGATATACATGTACCACCTGTACAGATGCAGATACAGATGTAGATCCAGACTGGGGTGCTTCTTGGCAAGACGCCCTAAGTACTATCAAGCTCGTCTCCAAGTGCCTGCACTGCGACGCACACCCCCGCAACCCTACATCTCAGATTTTATGGTTTGGACTCTTGCAAGGGGCTTCGGGCTTCGGGCTTCGACTCGTACACGGATTCAGGCAAATGATTCCAGCTTCGGGCTTATGGGCCTCTTGAGCTTCAGGGGCCCAAACTGTACTGCCGAAATAGACGGAGAAAGCTAAGAAAACATCACCCCACCTTGCCGTGATGGTCTGCAATGACAACAGTGTGCTGTCATCATCCCCAAGGACAGGGCTATGAGCTGTAGAATCTTCGGATCTTCATTACTTGATTCCCTTCCGGCCGCAAGGACCTGAAACGGCCCAGACCGGCTACACAGTTTCCGAAAATAGGAGACAATGATCTAGTACCCTGAATAGTAGGATCCGAATTATAAGGACCCCAAAATAATAAAAGGTACCCTAAATTTCGGAGACTCCCATCTCCGGTCCTCTGTCTTCAGGGTCAACCCTCGAGACACAGTAGTCCAGGAACTCGTCCCTGACTTTTCCTTTGCCTTTGCCCTTGTACATGGCGCTCAGAAAATGATCTTCAAAGGAGAATGTGAATGCTCCTAGGCTGACCTTCCAAAGTCATGCAGAGCGAAACAAGGCACACACTGTTTGCAGCTACAGCTGATTCGGAATCCAAGCACATGACCGGCGGCCCGAGTTAGAGTTGAGCCCTTGCAACAAGAAGCTGGCTCCTACTTGATGCTACTGGGGTGTGAGATCGATGCATGGGAAGAATGGAGAAGCTTGAGCCAAACAGCTCTCCCAGGAGTTCAGTGCTTTGCATGCAGTCGACTCTCCCACCCGCTTAGCTGACCAGGCTGCATACGTTAGGGTTTAGGATTGCGCAGCATCGCTGTGCAACTGGATCCTGCAAATATGATGACGGCACAATCGAGTCGGACGGGGAGTCTGCAACATGCAATCCAGACCAGCCAAGGCCAACAAGACACTACAGACTACAGCTTCGAAAGCTCGGAAACAAAGAGTTTTGAAGTCATACTTTTCCACGGGAGGCGCGTGGCTCCGACACACAGGAGCTATTATTGATGGGTCCTGCTGGAGCTTGGAAAGAGCTTGCCACCTCCCCGCCTAAACCCTCGCTCGGACCCAAACTCCGTTTTTGTGAGCATTGGAAGTTTGAGGCATGTGCGCCTTTTCAATTTTGTAAGTCTTGGTTGGAGAATCTGTCGCCTAGTTCAGGTTTCGGGGTATCGCCAACTGACGGATAGGAGAAGTGACGTGCGAGCGCCCGGCACCACCCAGAAAGAAGCCACGGGGCGGTGCAGTAGACCTGAGTCAGCTTAATCGCTTACATCCTTCTGCAGATTGCCAGAATAGCCGTCTACTAATCATATGAGTACGCGCTCAGCCTGTGAGGGCTTCGGGGAGATGTGTTTCTCGTGTACTTGAGGTGAGCCGCGCAGTACAATCTGGACGTGGGGGCTTCCGAAAATGGGGGACCCTGGTACCCTAAATAGTCGGATCCCTATTATAAGGACCCCCAAAATAAGGTACCCCTAATTTTCGGAAACTCCTACTTGGGAACGCAACATGAACCAAAGCACATCGGATCTGCATGACAGCTATCTCGACAGAAAATCCTGCATGCTGAGATCCGAAACCAAACGTCCACTGCTGGTCTCGGTACCTGAGCGGTCAACATCTGTAAGATGATTCGATCCGCAGCCCAAACACACAAGATTCTTGTTCACCAGTCTGTTTTGCCCCTGACATGAGATCTCTATACTAAGCTACAGGTGCTAGTCATGCGTGCGAGTGCCGAAGCCAACGACACACCCGGAATGAACAAAAGCAACGTGTCTGCCGGCCACCACCCCTGGCGACCGCACCGTTGCTCTCTTTGCGCTGGCACGTCGTCCTTCCCCAGACCTCACGGTTTGTTCAGTGGTGTTTCAGGTGGGAAACATGTGAGAATGCCATGCGTCATTTGTTGCTTCGAAAAGGCGAAGCAAGGCCGATACCAGTGGCAGCTACAGGCAAAGCAGGGGCTGTGGTTGATGCCGCTCGTTTAATGTTTCCTTGGTATCACTCGGAGTCATACCAAGCAATCGAGGCCCAGGCAGATTCATCAGTCTTGTACTGAGAGCGAAAGAAGGGAACCCAATTCGAAGAACTCCGTGCATGGAAGTCGTCGAGCCGACATGACATCACGTTTATTATGTAGGTACTACGAAGCATGCGTGGATTTTGGGATATGAAAACGCTGGGTTCTAGTACAATCGATATATGCGTGATCTTGAATGAAATTGTAACGCAGTTTGAGTAGTTCTAGCAGCCACAGATCTAGGGATGCACATTATGAAGCTACAGCTTAGGTTTAGTGGACTTGCCGCATCTCCACAAGCCCCACGAATTAATAGGCTGGGACCCCCCTGACATGAGGAACCACAGAGACCCTAGAGCACCGCTATCCAGTGCTTCTAAACCCCACAACACCTGAAGCCCTGCAAGTCAGAGGTCCCATATCCTACTGACACCCCAAAACCTCCAATGAATACTCTAAAACCCTAATGAACCTGAAAACCTTAAAGCCTATATTGAACCTTAAAACCCTCAAGCCCTGAACCAGCCCCGGGTCTCAGCCCAAGGCTTCGCAAGGCGCGCCAGGTCTGTGCCCAACTTGAGCTCGAACTCCAGCTTCCGGTCCCGGGCCTCGGACACAGCTATGTATATATATATATATATATATATATATATATATATGGTCACACCCCCCCCCATGATCCACCCCAGCCTTCTCCTCAACTACTCCTGTACTGTCCTCTGGTACAAGATGCGTATTGCTAAAGTCAGAATCTATCGGTATTTACGCTGTTTTATGCAGTTCATGTACATGTACAGATGCGGCTTTTCGCTTTTTATATCATATACAAACAAGCCAAAACCGAAACCAGATTCTGGTTCTGCTGCCGCGCTCTTGTCCACTGCTCCGTATCAGCTCTTGCTGTTCAAGTCAAAACTTGGCCTTCCTATTTTGGAGTTTGTCGAACTACTTACGATGTACAGTTTGAATAGACACAGCTGCTCTTCTCTTCATGACATAAGCTGTAAGGACAACTCCTTCAGTGAAAGCAAACATGCCAGTGGTATGTTTGGCTTACTAGCAACATTGTAACCACACTAAACAGAGGTGTTGCCCATCAGACATGGAAAGGAATCCCCGTGTATCTTCATGCTTCAAGGGAACCTCGAACAACATCATATCTTCAAAATTTCAACCGACAAGGGAAGCATGGTTGTTCTTGTTCAGGTGGTGTTATCAATAGAAATCTTGTTTCAGCACAAAGAAACACAATAAGCCACCTTAGTCCCTTATCAGTCGCTGGAACTCAGTGGCTGGAACTCAACGAGCTCTTGCAGTATACCAATACCGCAAAATCGGAGTGATTAGTGAAAGACATGGTCTCCCTCCACCAAACTCCAAATACATTCGGTCACAAGCATAGTATGTCGAGCTTCTTACGCTTTATACTTCGTGGGAATTAAGACAAGCATGTATCTGGAAAGCATTCGTTATTGAACACATTTGTTTTTCTTTTTAACAGATGCAAGACGATCCTGGCTCAGAACACATAATCGAGCTCCGTTGCACCGCGCTACTCGCAAGAGTTATATAGCTCCTGCCATCTTTGAATACAGCATGAAACAGCTCCAGACCTCTCCTCATAGCCTCCAAGAAATGGTGGAAAAACATATTTTCTCATTATGCTTTAAGGAAAACAGTCAAACACTGGACTTACTTCTTGAGCAAGGTTGACCTTGACTCGGTTATGATTTTGCTCCACGAGAGAAGAGTTAGTACCGCCAGTAATCGAAGCAATTGAAAGCTCATTTACCAGGTTCCCCAGTGTCGCCTGAATGGCACCTTTTATGTAATGATATGAAATATCGGAGCTTATCAGCTTCTTCAGTTTGTGAGGTAATATAGAATACAAGGAATACTTCTTCTTTGTTCAAGCTACGGGCAAGAGTTTAAGAACTCGACAGCATCTAAACATGATGTACAGTTCAACGAACATGTGCATTCGCAAAAAAACGTTCTAAAGCATCCACAAACACAAGCAGGTTTCAATATTCTAAAGTACAGCTGTTCTTCTATTTCTTACATGGAGCAAAGGTGATCTCAACAACAGCTATGACTTTGTTCGATGAAAGAAGAAAGAGCACACTTGAGAACGGAAGCAATTGAAGGCTCATGTATGAGCACATGGTACGGCTGTTTTTCTATGACTTTTGCATTTCAGGTTTCAGGAATCTTGGAGATTCGAGCCTGGCAGTGTTTTCGCATCCGAGGTTGCCAAAACACCGCCAGGCACCAATTTCCCCAAACTTTGTGAGGCTGGAAGTGCCAAAACCTCGCCAGGCACCAATTTCCCTAAAATCCCGAAATCCTGGCATCTATGGAGGCCGTCAGAGTTCAGCTGTATGAATTTTGGGGAAATTGGTGCCTGGCGGTGTTTTCGCATCCGAGGTTGCCAAAACGCCGCCAGGCACCAATTTCCCCAAAGTTTGTGAGGCTGGAAGTGCCAAAACCTCGCTATGCTCCAATTTCCCCCAAATCCCCAAAATCCCGGCATCTATGAGGCGTGCCGGGCCATAGTTGCTCAGAGTTTGGGATTTTTGGGGAAATTGGTGCCTGTCGATGTTTTCGCACTTCCGCCTTTGCAAACTTTGGGGAAATTGGTGCCTGGCAGTGTTTTCGCATCCGAGGTTGCCAAAACACCGCCAGGCACCAATTTCCCCAAAGTTTGTGACGCTGGAAGTGCCAAAACCTCGCTATGCTCCAATTTCCCCAAAATCCCCCAAATCCCGGCATCTATGAGGCGTGCCGGGCCATAGTTGCCCAGAGTTTGGGGATTTTGGGGAAATTGGTGCCTGTCGATGTTTTCGCACTTCCAGCTTTGCAAACTTTGGGGAAATTGGTGCCTGGCAGTGTTTTCGCATCCGAGGCTGCCCACCTCCCATGATCCACTGTTTGCAAGAAGCAGGTTCGGGTGGATCATGGGGGGGGGGCGTGAGCATATATATATATATATGTGTGTATACATGTATGTTTGTATATGTGTGTATATATGCATATGAATATGAATATAGATGTCTATATGTATATGCATGTATATGCATGTGTATGTATGTATGTATCTATGTATGTATGTTTGTATGTGTACGTATGTATGTATGTATATATCTATATATATATACATGTGTTTACTATAGAAATTTATGTGTGTGTGTGTCTGCAACGGATGAGGGAACGGATGACCTGTTTGGCTCCCACATCGCTATACATCGCGCGACACGCATGGCAGGGCTGACAAGCTGACCAAAACACGATCGGTTCTGCTCGTACCGGAAAACATAATGCCTGTTTGTTAGGTGAAAGACGAAGAAACAAACATGCGGCCATGTGGTTCGGAGATCAGGGTGCGGGGTGTCGGGATGCTCGCCAGTTTGGTAGGAGGTGCTTGTTGGAGGGACTAACGATACGGGTATCGAGCGAGGCTTGTGTATTACCTTTGCCGACAGGAAGCAGGAGCCTGGGAAGATGCAGTTGATGCGAGACTAAAGCGACAACATCAACATGTAAGTGTGGTTACGGCTCGCAGCAGTTTGAGTAGGGGCTCGGGGTTGAGGTGTTTGCAGGTTGGCGCATGTAGCTTTGCAGAAGAGAAAGCTCACCATCTATCAGCGGCGTGTTCGCAGGAGTTCTGGACTTGATGCTTGCATCGTGACAAAGTCTTGCAGTGGATGCCTGAACCCGTCAGTGCCAACTGAAGCACCCTAGAACACGCTGGTCCTGCCTGCCCCCGAGGCACTGTCTTACTGTTTTTCAAGGACAAGGCAGAACTTTGCCACCGTCGGAGGCTACCGGCTAAAGTCTCCGGGTTGAGCTGACACCGGAGCGCCGAAGCGGTGCAGCTTCGTCCGACACCTTGTCAATGCTGTACACATCATCCCGTGTCTTCGGAGCTCGCCGAAGACTCACTCTCTGAGGACTCGCTGGCTTTCTGGATGTCACCTTAGCTGCTTAGCTGGCTTAGCAATCCTGACAAGTGCGATAAAACAAGAGAGACTGCAGAAATGTACAGCAACATACACACAGGCAAACACACATGCTGGGAAGAATCTCAATGCTTCCCGGGGAGGCAGCCATGCAGAGGCGGGCATGTTGCAAGCAGAAAAACTGTCCAATGCATGTGCCCCCAATGCATTGGCGACGGGCAGATGAGGGGCACCTAAACGACGAAACTCTGCGAAACAGAAAACACCCGAAAAAGCAGACCGCAAGAATTTCGAAGATCTGCAGAGCCCTGTTGGTCGGGAACGACCGCATCGAACTTTCCGGCCCACCATGGGTAGCAAATCTCATGAAGCCACAAATTACGTCGTTAAGAGCCCCCGAAATGGAAACTAAATGTATGGCCATCACCACACAACCTCCCGCGCAATTGGCCACAGCTAACGTATTTCTAATGGTTCTAATCATCCCACCAAGCCTCGCTTGCTGCTTCGACGATAACACGGTGGCCCCACGACAGCACCTGTCAATCAGTTGTGAGACTGCAGCTAGGACTAGGCTTGCTGCCCCATCACAGGGCGACAATTACATTTATGCTGCGGGCTTCCCCGGTCATGCGGATGTCTGCTTCAACCCCACGATAGATAGCACTCTTCAAGCGACGGACGGCTCAACGATGCCACGCCCATCACATCATCGTGCACAAAGCCGAGGCACAAGTGAAAGATATCACTGCTGTGAAGGGCCGCAAGAAGGCCACTATCAGCCTGCCACTGGGGTGAAACGACTTGGTTTTCTTCTGGTACTATGCTACATACAGGGCTGCACAAACATATCTATATATAAATATATAAATATATATATATATATATATATATATATATATATATATACATATATATATATATATATATGTATAGGTTCTTCGAAAGTGCAAAAGGAGATTGTTGTAACATTAAAGCACGTGCACAGGCAGAAGAAACACGCGGTTTCGAACTAGCTGTCAGGGTTCTGACTAAATAGAGGTCACCTGCTCCGAACGTGGCTTCATCCTCACTCTGGGCACGCTGATTGCAGGCAGGAAGTGTCTGGTCTCTTCACGGCAGCAAGTACCAAGTCTAGATCATCACGAAGAAAGAGTGCGTAAAAGACAAGGCTGCTGTCCCTGCTCAACTCTCACCATTCAAAACTCCATACCTCCTTCGATATAAGCAGAAACACTACTTTCTGAGACCCTCCAACCCTGGCCAAAGACCAAAGCTTCCAAGAAACACAGCCCGCGATCCGAAGTCCGACAAGCAAACGACAATCAGAACGTGCAGAACATGCCGACTAGTTCATCATGTCGGAATCCACTGGTGTGCACTGTGTAGGGTTTCCGGCTAGACCGTGAAACAGATGCACTAGCTACCTGGACCCGTCCCAAGCAAAAGAATCTTCAACACTCGAGTCACCGCAAAGTCCTGCAACAGAAAGCTGCTTTGTAGCGGAATGAGATCCTCAGCAAAATTTCTACGGACGCCCAGGAAAGCACTGCAAAGCCAAGCCCCCCACCATCGATCCCAGGCGTCGCAGCGGTTTGGAAATGGTTCAAAAGCGCCTCACTCATGAGCAAAGCCAATTATGTTCAAAATGCTTTGTTTTTGGCCTCCTGCCGGAGAACAGTTGCGTCGCGTATTGAACAATTCTCCGAACGAAGGCTTGCAGGGCTTACGGTTTGAGGGAGGGGTCCACGGTTTATATCCTGGGACTTTGGGACCAAACCCTTAACCCTACGCCTGTAGCCCGAAAAACATTTGCAGCGGCTCGTGAGGCTTTGGAGGAGTCTTTTGTGCCAAGCTGTTGGCTGCCAAGGGCTCGCTATGGAGGCGCAAAGGGATATTGTCATGGGCGGGGCCTGCCCTGGTGAGCATCTACGGAAATCGCTTTTGAAAACTGAAATGGGGAAGTATGCTTCGAACATGCGATGGTGCTCCAGGAACTAACCCTTTTGCCACTGGACTCAAGTCGAGCCAGCCTACGACCCACAATCATCTTGACACTAACCCTAAACCGTAGACTCCCTAAACCCGAAACCGTAGCTTTAACAGCGCCCGGTCCTCCACCGCAGGCATCCACAACCATCAGCCTGATCTGGATCTCGAGCAGCCTGCAGGATCTTCACAAGCTGTTTCGACGAGTTGAAGTCCATTCTTCGATGCCCAAGTGGGAGTTTCCGGGACCCTAATATAGTACCCTAAATAGTAGCTTCCTTATGATAAGGACCCCAAAAATCAGATACCCCTGATTTTCGGAAACTCCCAAGTGGGCTAAGCAGTGCCTAGCGGCTAGAGAGGGCAGAACCCTCAAGTGTCATGGCATGCAGTTGGGGATTTTTGTCAGCAGCAACTGTAACTGGAGTAGGATTTTGGGATCTGTTGAAAAGCGTTTCGCCGGTCATCTCGTCAGATCCTCCCACCAATTTTCTGGCTTGCCAGCAACAGTCACGCCATCAGTGTGATTCTGCTGGTAAGATGTCCTAGTTTCCCGATACCAATCGATGTGCGTTCTTCGTTTTGCTGATGTGCGGTATCTTCATCTGTTTCTCTCGCCTTAGAGATTATATATAACTTGTGTGTATGTGTCCGTTTTTTGACTGAAAAAACCGCAGACCTGTTGTGCGTGTCCGTGCTCCCACAGCCAGAGGCGCGTCTATTCCTGTGTCAGAACCTCCTGTCTAGCTTGAAAAGACACGCCTAGGCCTACGCCCAGAACCAATCGGCTTCAATAGGACAGGCAACAATGGCAAGCCGAGTCCAATCAGTGTCGAGAAGGTCCACACTTTCACCTCGGAAAACAAAGCTTCGGATGCAGGTTGTAGGGGCAGCAGTAAACTGTGTGAAGCTCTAGGATTGGAAAGTGGTCTACCTGCGACAGGGTATCCGCTGCTCGAGCGGATGCAAGTATCAGGAACATCACGCTCTTGAAAGGACATGTCCTTCGTCGTTCCTGAAAACCGACTCTCGGCCGAATCCTCTGCCCCACTCCCTGGCTTCTCTTGTTCCACAATGCAAAGACGATTGAATCGTCAGTGCTGGCGCAGCGACCCGTAGTAATTAGTTTGCTCCTGCTACTAGCACCGGCTTTCATGAGCGAGGCGCGGCAAATGCGCCACGCTCGAGGCCCGTCTGCTGCAAATGCCAGGCTGTGATCGGAAACCTGAGATCAACTGCAGCACATCCGTCTTCGAACTCCCGGTCTCGACCACCGCTAATTACCACCGACGGAACAACAACGACACAAGAACAACACATCATCATCATCATCATCATCATCAGCAGCAGCAATAGCAATAGCAAGATCTGGAACAATCCAACGACAGCAACGACAATAGCCGTGACAACTGAACCATCGCTTGGACTAGCCTGCCCTCAGCAAGACTACTGAATTTACTAGCTTGCCGGCAAACAAGCATACACAAAGCCCTCAAGTCTTGGCACTCGTCTGGGACAGTAAACTCCGTGTTCTTCCACGGCAGTGAGCTGTGGAGCCTATAAGCCAACTTTCAGCAGTCACCAATCACTAGAATCCGAAAGATCGAGCAAGCACAGCCGTAACACTATTCACCAGCCTGTGCTCAAACATGGAACCTGAACATAGGCCAGGAGGTGCAGGTCCATCATCTGCCACTCTGTGGCTTCCTCCCTGAGGCCCCTGCTGACGCTAAGGTACTGCGATCCTGAATGACCCCAGAGGGATTCAGTGTTTATCCGAGGACAACAGGTACTTCCAGGGAGCAGGAAGAGCGCACCTGCTTGGATTGCCACCGCAACGCCTCAGCAACCAAGCGATCATGCACATGTCGCCACGACCTCCAATGATATGTGTCATATACACCCAACGTGAATAAGCTGCAGGGAACAGGATTGCAGGATCCGTGCTGGCTCGGTGCTAAATTGCGCGCTCGCAAAGTTGATATGACTACAAGCACGTTTGCACACGGTACCAGTGACACCTCAAGCTTAACAAACATCCCAGGCGCAACGCGTTGGATCCAACCCTCATGTGTATAGACATGACGACGGAAATTATGAGAACTCTTGCATAGCGCCCAGGCGAACCTCATCCCTTGACGACAGACGCAGTGTTTCAGCTAATACTTACAAAATCCCTCAATCGTAAGGACCCTGATAGGACACCTTGGGCACAGTGGCTGAGCAGGAGCAGTCCACTCGTCCCCTGCTCGTAACGCGGCCCGAGGCAGACCAGATAGGAGTCCTTCTGCATGACTTGGCGTTGGAAGAGTTTAGGGCAAAAAACGCTGTTTTGCTGTTTTTGGCCGAGTCGTCTGATTGCTTCTGTTGAAGCAGGCTTCTCTCAAGCCAGAACTGTTGACTTCGATTGGCGATGTCAGAAGTGTCTCCACCTACCGGAGTCTCGCCTGCAATTGGGTTTCCAACTGGGCCTTTGAACGCTGTGGGGCTTCGCCGCCGGGTCAAGAACCAAGACGGCACAAAGGGAGCTCTCTGCGTATGGCAGCGTACCGAAGGAAGACGAAACAGATCCAGAAACTCAGTTTGGCCTTCGGAACTGTCGCTCGGACAACATCTGATTGAGGTTTGCTTCTCGGATTTCTCAAACCAGAGGTGGAACGGCCCCACTCGAAACATCAGCGGGGCCTGAAAGGATTCGATAAGGACTTGCAAGGGCACCGTCTTCGATGCTTTACTATGCTTTACAGGGAGTACCATCTTACACAGAGAAGAAATGAACATGCCCACCCCTGGAAAAGAACAACCGACAACCCAACACCGTACCTAATCCGTTGCGCAAGGCGATTAGTGCCGAGAGTCTAGGAAACCAGCAGAGTCCAGGGTGGACAGCAGCCAGATCAGGGACACGAGGCCCGTCTTTACAATGAGATCACCTTTGATGTTTGCGAGAAGTTAGGGCGCGGAGTTAAAGATCAATCTCAACTTTGGTCTCGCTGTCCTGCACACCAAGCCCGACGTGCTCGACTTGCAGAATCACAGACAAACGGTCTGTACCAGTATACTAGCTTTGCCCCCAACACAATCTCTCTCTGTCTCTTTCCCTCCCCCGTTCTTTCTTGCTGTCTTTCTAGAGATCCCCAGTGGGGTACCCCGCCTGAACAGCTGACAGAACCTTTCGAGAAGTCGAGAGAAGTGAGGATGCAGTGTCAAGCACAAGACCTACCAGGAAATCGCAAAGAAGTGTGGGAAGGCTCCCTTCAAAGGCTACCTGCCCTGCTTTGGCCTAGGTCGTGATGGAAAGGGGAGACTTCGGATTAGCCGAGGCATCGTCAGCGCACCAAAAACCTGCCAACGTCATCAACTTGGATCTCCGGCCCACTCTTCGGGAGCACGGGATCTTCGAAAAGTCTCTTCGATGAAGTCTCAGGGCTTGGCCCTACCCACGCTGCCAAAGAGCAGTGCATGCGCACAACTCGCATGCAGGCGGTCGCAGGTCGTTGGAGTGACACTGCACTCTGTCTCTCCCTCTCTCTCTCTCTCTCTCTCTCTCTCCCTCCCTCTCTCTCTCCGTCTGTCCCTCTCCTCTCTCTTCTGACTCTTCTCACTCCAACGTCGTCTCCTGAAGTGCACCCACGTGGCTGTTCCCTTCGCCGCTGATGTCCTCGCCTTGCTCGTAAGCTTCCCGAAGCGCATCGTTGTAGGCACCGCTTTGCATCAATACCTCATATCTGGGTGGTTGTCAAAATTAGGGTCCCTTTTTGGGTCCTTAATATAATGCGGCACTTAATATTCAGGGTTCCCCAAAAAGGGACCATAATTTTGACAACTACCCATCTAGAGGCTGCATCCTAACGACTGGCACCGCTGCTCAGAGCTCTGAACTCGGATCGATATCCAGTGGGAGGACATACGAAAAAGATCGAACAAGTCATTGCAAGCAATGTATTGGCACAGGTGCACGAATCGTCACATCCACTTCGGCCTGCAAACAGAACTTGGCCAGGAGATTAGCACGCCACTAGATGACTGAACGCTCTGTACCTTTCATCCCATCGCAACAAGACTAATTCTGCAGTTCTCATTGCTGCACATGAGATGACGGCCCTGTTTATACCCCCCCGCTCCCATGCCAAACCAGAACCCAAACGACAAAAAGTCGCCGCAAATATCCCCGGCCTCGAAGCCTTGTATGGCCTGACGGATCTGGGCTTCGTCGTGTGGATCGGAGCACGTAGCATCCTGCAGGCAGGGTGCGAGTGGAAGCCAGCTTGTCGGGTCACAGCCCATAAACAAAAAGTCGGTTTCAGGGCCTTCTCTACTCTACTTGGAATCCTGGTTGTTTTATAAGTGGTTAACATAGTTATGTGGAGTTGTACCCTAGTTATTAAACTGTTATAAGTGAGTGTTAACCGTCTATTAAGTGATTACATGTTCCTATAATACTTATATCTTTTATGTTATGTTACTAAAGTTAATATTTTGTTAGCTAAGTAACATAATTAACTTAACCTTTTATAAAAGTTAGGGTGAGTTACATGGAGTTATGGATGTTGAAATATAGGCTTTGAGAATACGAAATTCATACATGGAGATGTAATATTTCAATGACATGTATTCTGATTTGTGGTGCATAATTCGTCGAGTGCACTGAAGGTATAAGATAAGAAATCATGGGTTTTAGAATGGAATCGAAGTTTTTGCTGAATGTTATCATTGATTTTGAAGATTATAGTATGGACTGCCAGAGATATATGTTGTTTGCTTTTAGCAAATAATTTATCAGAGTTGTTGTTCGATTTTTTGTATTTGGCATTGCATGTGTGTGATCATGGGAGCCAGACGGCCATAGCAGTGTGCTCATGTCTTTGTATTGCATGGTATGTTTGCTGCAGCCACCCGGCCATAGCGAGTGCCAGCTACAGCTTTCCACGTCCACCATAGCTTCCAAGCATGGTGGAAATTCGTGCGGCCATCCAGATAAAGTACGAGTCGGAGAGGCCAATCCTCATCCCCAAGGATCTGGTGAAGCTGTCCAAGGACAAACAGTGGCTCCAACTTCGGCCCACTTCCCAACCCATAATTGAGTTGCTCACAGGCCAGAGACCCGACAAGAATGCCAGTCTGTCGGGTTCTACGGCCATGGCCAATCTCATCAAGAAGAGGAACCAGAGCTTCGACCAACCAGCAACACCAGCAGAGCAACTTTTCGATGCTCCAGAGCCAGGCTCAGGAAAGAAGTCGACCAGAAAGAGGTCTCTTCCAGACAACCAAGAAGAAGAAGTTACCATGGACATCAATGGTTCCAAAGTCACCTGCTTGATGAGTGGCAAGAGGCCAAGGAGGTGCGATCTCACCATCCAACTCGAACAGCACCAGATCGAGACCATCATCAAGACCATTCGCAATGATGAGGATACGGCCCAAGTCCTCGGCCAGGCCAAAAGAAGCTACAAGAAGAAAGCCAGGTAGTAGCCACGACCAGTCCAGGAGTGACTCTTCCAGACTCTGCCAGGCCTTCGCAGGAAAAGGCTTGCTGCAGAACAGTTTTGCAAGTGTCAAGTGTTGAAGGGATGCATACAGTTTTGTTTGCTTTATCGTCTGCCTGCAGCCAGTATAGGCCATCCATGCATATCCATGGTCGCAGAACCATGCCACTGTTGAACCCGACAGATATATATGCAGGTGGTTAGAATCCAGCAGTTCCAGACGAGCAGAAAGAAGTTGCCCGGCACAGCCACACTTGAATTCCAGATAGGATATACCAGACAAGGCCACAGCCGCACAGAAGCCAGAAGCCATGGCTGTCCCTCCAGCTGTGGTCCAAGAGGTGGAGGCCATTGTGAATGGCCGCGAGCCAGTGAACACCAGAGTCACCAAGGTCTTGCAGGTGCTGGAGCACCATGGCCTCTGCCAGCAGCAGACCTTGGTTCCAAGCCAAGTTCTTTGCCACCCCTCCAACCGGGGAGGGCAGATGGTGTCCCACTTTGACGTTTGGGCCAAGGGACACCAACTCTTGGCAGTTGGCCTGCAAGTGCATGTCCATTTGTCTCCAGATGTCCACGGACCCCCAAAAGCGCCAGCAGCAGGTTTGGAGGAACCAGCAGCTGGTCCAGGAGAGCAAGGGCTCCCTGGCCCCAGTCAGTGGAGCAGAGGGCCACTCAGATGACACATAGAATTGGTTTCCTTTTCTCTATATATCCAATCCATTTACAATTTGCGGATAAATGTATATTGTAGACATACATTGGCCACTGAGGATACCTATCCCTTGCCAGCAGCCACACCACGGCATTCTTGAGATGCCTGGAGCATGGGACCACGGATCCCAGTGGCAAAGCCATCTCCGTGCCCAAGACAGACCCAGTCTGGTCCGCCATCCAGACCGGGTGGCGGTGGCATGTGGTGGCCTCCAGTGTGGAAGAAGCCATGCCAAGCCTTCCACAGTTCTTCCAAGTCGGAGCCAACTCTGGCAATGCCATTGGCAGAGCCACCAGCGAGTTGGAAGCAGCCTGCCAAATAGCCATTCAAGTGCAAATGGGAGCCAGTCTGGAGTCGGCAATCCAGTCCGTTGCCAGCGGCGAAGTTGCCTGCAGGCAGAGCCTCCCAGCCATAGGGCATTATGTCTCGAGATACTCTGGAGGCACAAGCTTTCCATTGCTGAAATTCCTTTCCCACTTCTCCTCCACCTACGGCACCACGTGCATGATGGGCCAGGATTTCATGGAGGCGTTGTCGCACACCACCTTCCCAGACCCTGGCAACCTTTACCCATTGCTCCGCACAGCTCTATGGGCAACCCAGTGCACATCCACCAAACAGCAAGACGGCTTCGCACGACTCCTCACCAGAGCCGACGTCCAGAGACTGTCGTCGCCACAGAACATGGAGTCCGTCAGGACGGCGGAGTCCATGCTTTCGGATTCCTGGAAACTGGTCCAGAGCCAGCTTCCAGAAGGCACCAGCACCAATGCCGGCAGCAACCATCTCTACAAGTGTTTCGGCAAGTTTTGCGTCAGAGCCATCTTGTTTCTGACCAAAAAGGAAAAGCTTGGCCCTGATGCCCAGCAGAAGCTGGAGTCCCTGGCCCAGATTCTCGACCTTTTCACCCAGGACGTTTCCAAGGTCAAGCAGGCCACCCCAGCTGCAGAGGCAAAGACCATCAAGGATGCAGTCTCTGCCCAGCCATGGGAAGCCACCTTGCTCCAGAACACCCACATCAAGGTGGGCGACCAGTGCCCATGATTGCACATAGGAGTTTTGCTGTTTTAATGTCTGTTCCCTCATAAGATTCTGCTGTAGATACATTCCATACACAAACCAAGGTACACCTTGCCAAAGGAGCACGGAGCCAAGGTCTACCAGCTCCTGCAAATCACCAACGAGGGTGGGACCATGGAGCACAGGCCAGTGCTCCAGGCACCGGAGACAGTCCATGTGCCGCTGGCGGGGCTGGGGAAGTGGCGGGTCTCCCGCCACTCCATGCCAGCCATCGGCCCAGCCGACATCATAACCAGGGGACTCCCATCCAGCCATGCCATGGCCCAGGAGGACTTCCAAAAGGCAGCTGTGGTCACGGCACTCCACCAATGCTACCAGGAGCAGTCGGTCGAGGACTTGGAACTCCTGTGCATGGCTTCCAGTCCCCAGGCACTGTATGCCAAGAAAGCCATTGCCAGCAAAAAGCTCAAGCTGGTTCCATGGAACAGCAAAGTGAAGACAGGCCAGAAGCCGCCCAAGCTGGCCATTCAGGCCTTCGGCCATGACTGGGCCATTGGAAGCTGGAAGCAGGACCTCCAGTTCCAGGCAGAGGGCACCATCGTGCCATTTTTCTGGTGCAGGACAGCAGAGGGCGAGGATGAGGGCAACATGGTCTTGACTACGATCAAGCAGGGGCCATGCACCGTGCCCATCCTCCATAACCCTGCGAAGATCCAAGCCAATGAGCAAATCTTGCAGAAGGTCGAGGAGGAAGCAGCCACGTCGGCTTCAGCCAAGAAAAAGCCCAGGAAGGGCTGACCCAGCCTCTATGGGCCATGCACATGGGATCCATCCTTGCACCATGCAGAGCTGCAGGAGTTTTGAGGGTTCCAAGTTTTGCAGAGCTGCAGGGACCAGGCTGTTGCGGCAAAAACAAGCACCTTCTTGGATCCAGGTGACTTGAGCAAGCCTCCTGTGGCTGTCCCAGCACCGATTCTGCTTTCTAGCCTGCCACCATGGCTATACCATGTCTGTAATTGTCTGCTTGATCCAGCCACTTCTTCCCAAGAGCTTCCTCCGCCTGCACCATGCCCAAAGCCATGGTCTTCAAGAAGCCTGCTGCCCCCATGAAAGCCATGAAGGTGGTCCACAAGGCAGCTGCCCAGAGCAGGAAGGCGAAGGCCAAGAAGAAGTCAGCACCTGTGTGCAAGGCGAAAGCCCAGAAGAAGCCAGCAGCCAACTCCAAGACCGAGAAGCCAGATCTTCCGCCTGAGTACGGCCGTGGCTGGGAGGAGTGGCAGATGATGTGGGCGGACCCCAACTACGAGCCATGGGCGGGCCAATGTGCTCTGCCCAAGGATTTCCATAGAAGGTACCGCACCAGTTGATGCAGACTTCCATGCACTCTGCTTGTTTGCGAGGAAAAGTACATGTAGCAGGACTCTCCTGGAGCAAGTGAGCCTTCAGGGGCCATGTCATGCTTGCTTTGTTATACTTCATGCCAAGTTCGACGAGTGCATGCACATCCCAGCCTGCATGGCCATGCCAGGGATTTGTCGTGATTGCTAAAGCCAAACATGGCCATCACAGGCCCAGGCTCTTCAAGACGGACCGCATATGTGAGGTCAATGCAGGCCACATGAACTCGCTGCACAGCAGCCAGAGTTGCAGGCCCAGAGCAGAAAATCCAGAGCTTTGTCCTGTTTCTATATACGAGGGACATGTAGCCACTGTGGCCATGCCAGGCAAGTTGCTGTGTTGTGCGAAAGCCAAGTGTACATAGGACCATGCCATGCCGTCACGTCTCAGCATTTTGGGTTTAGGGTCGGAAATAGAAGTGGAAATGCATAGTGCAGTTTGACCTTAAGAGACTCTAAACCCTGGACCCTAAACCCACAAGAATATACCCTTACATCCCAAAGCATAACCTCCCAAACCCGAGAGCTCGAAGCGCCATTTCTAAGCCAGGCCCTGAAGCAAAGCCAACACCATCCAAGTCCTCCAACCGCCAACTTCTAGAACCCCCAAGCTTCGTAGGGTGA